ATAGAATAGAATAGAATAGAATAGAATAGAATTAGAATAGAATTAGAATAGAATAGAAGCAGCCTTTATTGTCCCGCAGATCGGAAATTCAGGTGTAACAGCAGCAGCAGGTACATCAATCCACAAAACAATATATTGTTATGCAACATTATCAGTAGCGATGATAATAATAGAGTTAAAATAATATTAAAAATAGCAAAAATCAAGAACAAAATTAATAAAATACTGTATAATGCAATAAAATTTAAATAACATCAAAATGAAAATATGATAGAAAAAATTACATGTGGTCATGTGACCACATGTAAAAATTATAAGAAAACAGTCATGACAGACCCATGCAGTGTTCCAGTGCTGGAAAATAGATGTAAAATAGCCACAGAGTATTATTTATGTAATAACTGAAAGCTGAGTTGTTTAATGTGCAAATACAAGCATGGATGAGCAGTGCTGGTTATAGAGTCTAACAGCTGATGGGAGGAAGGATCCTCGGTAACGCTCCTTCGTGCATTTAGGGTGCAGCAGTCTGTCACTGAAGGAGCTCTGCAGATCAGCTACAGCATACAGTAGATAAGCTGCTGCCCCAACATATGATGTCATAAAAGATGGCTGAAGCCACAACTGTGTCAAAGAAGGTCTTCAGGAGTGTCCCCTGCACTCCAAAGGACCTCAGCCTCCTCAGCAGGTAGAGTCTGCTCTGACCCTTCCTGTAGAGTGTCCGTGTTGTGAGTCCAGTCCAGTTTATTTTTCAGGTAAACACCCTGGTACTTATGAGTCCACTATCTCAATGTCCACTCCCTGGATGTTCACCGGTGTGAGTGTGGTGGCTCTGAGTCTGCGGAAATCCACCACCAGCTCCTTGGTTTTAGTATGTCTGCTCTTATTTAACATTTTTGTGCTTCTGTCAGCAGCTTTTTGCTAATTTCAGTTGTTTTCTGCCTCTTCAGCTAATGTTTAGCTGTTTTCAGCTAATTGTAGCCTTTTTTTAGATGAATTTATCTTTTAGTGACATTTTCAGCTTCTTCTTGCTTAATTCAGCAAATGTGTTCTTTCTGCTATTTGTGCTAATTGCAGCATTTTCTGCTAATTTCAGCTGCTTTGGCCATTTTACAACAACTTGCATCTCTTTTTGGACAACATATTTTAGCTGCTTTTCTACTCACATTTACAGATGTACTGCTAAACATTTTCAGTTTTTTCAGCAGCAGCTTCTTCATTAAACATTCACACTGCTAGTTGTCTTTTATCTTGTTGCTCAGGTAACTATAAAGTTATTGCAGCATAAAAACAATGTTGAGTTTTTTTTTAAATAAAACTTGTTTTATACACAATTATTACACAGTACCCATAATAATGGTGTCTTTGTTTAAACTGATATGTGGTCAATAGGAGAGAGAGGAAGTGAGAATACTGTTGTCCTGTAATGGGAAACTAACTTTTTATGTAACAACTGCATAAGGATGAAGACTGAGTTAAGTTTAGATCTCAAAAGTCTGACAAAAGTCCCAAATCAGAAGTCGAGCAGAAAGCCTTCAATTATATATCAGTTGTGCTTAATTTTGAAAGTGTCAGTGACTGACACAGAAACAAAAGATTTCCTGTTCAGATGTTAGACTTGCACTAACAGCAGCACTCACAGACTTGAACATTTCTGAAGACATTTGAAAGGAGCAACAATCCAGCTTCTTCCTGCAATTCCACCACACAACTTTCTTCTATAACATCCAGTTTGGATTATGAATAGATTTTCTTACATCAGTAATAAAATACTTGGATGACTGTTGTAGTGTTTATGGTTCTCAAGGCACAGTTATGGAGAGGAGGGTGTTTGGTTTGGAGTTTCGTCTCTGCTTTGTGCAGACGATGTGGTTCTGTTGGCTTCTCTGGGCCAAGACCTTCAGCATGCATTGGGGCGCTTCACAGGTGAGTGATAGAAGGATGGAGCGGGAGATGGATCAGCGGATTAAGGCCTCATCCTCAGTAATGAGGGAGTTGCTTCGGTCAGTCGTGATGAAGAAAGAGCTGAGTTGAAAGGCAAAGCTCTCAATTTACTGATCTGTCCCTTCCAACCCTCACCAATGATCACGAGGCATTGATCATGATCGAAAGAACGAGATCCAGGATACAAGCAGACGAAATGAGCTTCCTTCATTATGCATCATAAGGAAAACATACTTTGAAAATAATTATAATTAAATAACAAAAACAATGAAAGACCAGACCCTTGTGATTTACCAGACCCTTGTGATTAAAACACAATAAAACAATTCAGCTCTTCATTATGAATGCATCTTGGACCTTATATTTAAAAATATTCCTTACCTAAAATGCCAACTTTTTGATGCATACCCTGTATAAAGGGTAAAGAAAATCAAATTTAAAAAATGTATTCCCTGACAACGCTCTTAATGAGACAGAAACACTGAGGATTTTGCCTTAGTCACAGTGCATATTAGTTTGTTTTGAGATTTTTAAAGCTGCAGGAGTAGCACCAGAGTTGTAAAGTAACTACGTACAAATACTTTGTTACTGTACTTAAGTAGAATATTTTGGGTATCTGTACTTGAGTAATTATTTTTCAGCCTAATTTTTATTTCTACTTCTTACATTTTCACACAATTGTCTGTACTTTCTGATGCTTACATTTTTTTAAAAGACAAGAAATAGAAAGTTGTTACTTTTATTTCATTTTTGCTTGTTTTCGTTCCAGCTTGTTATTGTAAAAAATAAATACTGTCCGTATAAATTGTGTCTCCTAGAAAAAGTGAATTTAACTGTGGCTGAATGAGAAGTAGAAATATATAAAACTCTGATATCATATTAGTTTTTACACAAACAAATCATGTCACACTCCAGCAGGACATAATCATTAAAAATAAAAGGACTGTACTTAAGAAGTATTTGTATTTCATGCATTAAATTATTGCATTTGGCCGCAGCCCTTAGATAGATTTTTATTTTGTGGGAAAGGTTTGTGCAGCCTTGATAAATGTATATAAACTGAAACAGCTAGACTTGTGCATCCCAAATTTAATATAAATGATTTTAATATGACAGTCATTTCTGCATTTTATTGGGGAGGTCACCATGTCATTACATAAAACCAAACTGCTCATTTTAAATCAATACTTTCACATTTAATACTTAAGTACAAAAACTATCAGATACTTTAAGACTTTTACTCAAGTAATATTCCTAACGGAGACTTTAACTTTTACCAAAGTGGTTTTTTGGTAAGATACGTGTAGCCTACGTTTGCTCAAGTATCACATTGTGGTACTTTATACCAGTGTTTCTCAAAGTTGGGGTCGGGACCCAAAGTGGGGTCCCGAAACATCAAGGTGGGGT